ATCTATTTTTAATGTGAAACTTTCAGAGTCAATATATTTATTTCTAAACATATAAAAATGAATAAAAAGCAATGAGCTTATTTTGTTGGTCTCTTGGCAAACCTAGCAGACCTTCTATATTCAAACCGATGCTGTGTCCTTCCAAGATGTACAGTGTCCTCAAATATTGTAGAACATTTTTTGGGGGAAAAAACCCTCCATATCCCATAGCATAGTCTTTGGAATCTTCTCAGGGAGGCCTTTGTTTCTTGAAGGTAAATTTGATTTTGGGAGACAGCTAAAAACTACTTGGCAGCAAATCTAGTGAATGAGGTGGTTGATCAAGCTGAAGAACATCATTTTGGGTTCCAAACAAGGTTTGACTCTAAAGAAATGAGGTTGATTTTCTTGTATGTACATAAACTGGCTCAACAGCAATTCCAAAGGAGGACTTCCAAAATGTGTGGCCTTGGCAAGAAAAAATATTTCTCACCCCTGTTCACACACACACTCACCCCCCCCCCACACAGTGTATACTGCCTGGCCCAACGTCTAGACAAGTAAAATCAAAAGCCCTTGGAATTTAGTTTAAAGAAATCAGTTACACGAGTATGGGATGGAAGAGACCTGGCTTGGCAGCCATTCTGGCAGAAACACGTGAGGGTTTCAGTTGGCCACAAGCTCATCATTCATGAAGGGTGTGACGTGGCTTCTAAGTGTCTGCATTCTTGGACTGCTGTCTGGTGGAGGTCTTGGGCTCTGTGGGAACGTAAACACCCATGTTCCGTTCTGCACCGGTGCAGGGGCACCATGAGCTCAGCTATGGGCATGACGGCATAAGAGGACCACTGACCCACTGGAGCGTGGAACAGGGCTGAAGGAGCTGAGAAAACCAACCCAGGAGAGGCAAGAGTCAGTGACTGAAAATTACTGCTGAAGGACAGCTGTGCCAAAAGTGGTATCATCTTTTTTTTTTGTTGCATTGGGTCTTTGTTGCTGTGCACGGGCTTTCTCTAGTTGCGGCCAGTGGGAGCTACTCTTTTTTTTTTTTTTTTTTTTTTTTTTTGCGGTACGCGGGCCTCTCATTGCCGTGGCCTCTCCCGTTGCGGAGCACAGGCTCCGGACGCGCAGGCCCAGCGGCCACGGCCCACGGGCCCAGCCGCTCCATGGCATGTGGGATCCTCCCGGACCGGGGCACGAACCCGCGTCCCCTGCATCGGCAGGCGGACTCTCAACCACTGCGCCACCAGGGAAGCCCTGGGGGGCTACTCTTCATTGCGGTGCTCAGGCTTCTCATTGCGGTGGCTTCTCTTATTGCAGAGCACAGGCCCTAGAGCACATGGGCTTCAGTAGTTGTGGCATGCTGGCTTCAGTACTTGTGGCTCACGGGCTCGAGTGCAGGCTCAGTAGTTGTGGCACACAGGCTTAGTTGCTCCATGGCATGTGGGATCTTCCCAGACCAGGGATCGAACCCATGTCCCTTGCATTGGCAGGCAGATTCTTAACCACTGTGCCACCAGGGAAGTCCCAAAAGTGGTATCATCTTAATCTCATGTTGGTCTTTATGGAAGAGCCAAGACCAATGGGTGGAAATTATAGGAAGGCAGATTTAGGCTCAACCTACCAAAGATTCATTCATATTATAGAATTATACATTCAGTATCATCTTATGTGTGTGAATATGCACCTAAAGAGAGAGAAAAATGACTGGAAGGATTTCAAATATTTAATAATAACTGTGGGGTATGGAATGATGGGATAAATGTCATCTTTTAAACTTTATGTGATGATGTACTATTAGATTTTTATTACCTGTATATATTGCTTTTGAAAAAAAACAAACTTTCTAAAAATTGGAGGTGTCCAGCAACCAAATAAACTGTTTTGCAACCTAGTGAGGGCCCAGCCTTAGGCACTAATCCAACACTGATTGTGGGATGAATTAGTGGGTCCTTTTCAGCCTAGGGATTCGGTATGTTGTTCTACGATTTAACCTTGTTCAAATACCAGAGTTGAGCTGGTGGAAGTTCACACGTGGATCCAACGAGAAAGGGGCCTGGAAACTCACAAGAAGATGGGGCAACTTCCCAATTGCCAGGCCTATTCTAAGGACAATAGTCATCTTAACAAAATTCACGTAGGAAGTTTAAATCAAAGGGTAGGATAAACACTTCAGAGGTGAAAAGCCACCAGCAACTAGCTGTGAAACTAGATTCTGAACTAGAAGAATAAATATAGAGGGATAGGAAGAGGCATGGATAAAATGCTAAAAGACAAAGGCCATTGAGGAAAAGTAAAATGTCAATTGGAGATGGTGGATTTTCCATGTTTTGTAAGTGTGAACGGTTATCCATTTTAATTCTAACCATTCAACTGAAGCCAGCAGGCCTTGGACATTATAGAGTCTTCTGCCCCGCATCACTCAGCCTGCATGGACCGTAGCTGGCAGTATACCAAGACCGCAGAAACGCTGGCTGGCTTGGGTCACGTTCCGGGAACTGAAGTATGTCAAATAGGACCTTAGGCTGGTGATGCCCTGAGAGGCACTTGGGAACAGAACACGCATAACACCAGTGCTGGGCAGAGGGACTGGCACTTACTTCCTTTTGGGGCCAGTGGTGCCACAAAATGAGAGCAACGAAGAAACTAGACACCTTGACCTGATTCTCCACTTTACAAGAGGGAAACCGAAGAGGGGAAGTGAATGAGAAGGATGTGTAGAAACAGTCCCCTTCATCTCCCAGAAAGGAGAAATGGACTTTAAGACAGTGCCCTTCTGCTTGCAGGCATAAAACGTGATCTCAGGGTCACACATTATTTTGGCCACATTAAATAAAAACCTTTCTGTAGAGCGACAGGGACGACGATTAGGCGGTAACGAGGCTTTCGAGACTTCTTCTGATCTGGTGGTGGTAGCCTGGCACACTTGAGTCCAAGGAAAAAACCTTTGCCGTATTTAGGTCTCATGAATCAAGGAACAAAGATTCTCACAAATCCCATTCAAATACAGAAATAATGATGCTTAAAAGACGAAGATAATGCCAGTTCAAGTCTTACCAACCGCTATAAATCATTGAAAGCATATTAACAAATACCACCGATCGTAGCCTCGACTTCAACAAAACCAACTGAAGGCAACACTTAACCAAACATTTCTAATTGGCATTTGCAGAAGTTTCTGCAAAGGATGAAAATGGCTATCGGGAACTTGTGCTCTGCAGGAGACCCTGATGAAAGTGTGTTGGAGACAGCCGGAGGGGAAAAGATAAGTTATAAGAAACTCCCCTGCCTGCTTCCCACAGGCTCACCTCCTGCCACCTCCTGCCACCGGGCAGAAACGGGAGCACCTGGCTGGGCCTGCCTCCCAGTATCAAAGGGGACATTCCAGTCCTTCCTTGACCTTGACTCATACTCTGGCCCTGTGCCTCAGCCCCTTCTCTCTCCTCCTCCTCCAGCTTTGCCCCTCTTTGCCCTCAGGTGGGAGTTGAGTTCCCACTCAGTAGAGTCAACAGCGTTTCTGGTGACCCGACCTGGCAAGTGGGCAATAAGCCAGGCATTGGAAACAGTGGCAAGTCGGTTGTTCCTGAGGTTCTTTGGCAGCGGGACGTTCAAAGAGCAGCATGAGCTGCCGATGTTGGAATTAGTGTTGGTGTCAGACCTTCAGCTCCGTGAGAGCAGGGATCCAATCTGTTCAGTTTTGTATCATCTCCAGCAGCTGGTACAGTGCCTGACAGCCAACAGGTACGCAAGGCCTAGTTGTGGAACAAACGACTGTTGAAGGAGCCCGTCTGAGGCCAAGAGCCGTGTTGCTTCCTATAAATCCTGGGTTTCCCGGTGACAACCTCTGCAACCTGACCCAGGGCAGCTGCCGGCCCTGCCATGTGGCAGCCCCTGGAGAAGGGAGACGGGGAGCAAAGAAGCTTGGGGAATTACTCTGCACTATTGGGGCTCCCCTCTCTGGGTCGGGGGAAGGAAGGATATTAATTGTGTACATGATCCATACAGAGGATTTCTAGTTGGGCAAAACATTTTCAGCGAAGTGAAATTTGTAGAGAGACGGGGCACTTTTCTGAGATGCCTTTAGTTTCATAGGCCAGATACTCTACCTCGTTTGTAAATGGAGATTATGGATTGGGTGTGTGTTGGGATGGACTGGCTTTGACTGGAGCTCGGAGCCAAGGCTGATACTCACCCAAAAGGTAGGCGGGGAGGGAGGGGGATGTTCTTATACTGAGTAGAAAGCTAGGTGAGGAGGGGGAAAGCACTGCATGGTCACCACGTACTTGGGCTGACAAAAAAAGACCCAATGCTGGGCTTCCCTGGTGGCGCAGGGGTTGGGAGTCCGCCTGCCGATGCAGGGGACACGGGTTCGTGCCCCGATCCGGGAAGATCCCACATGCCGCGGAGTGGCTGGGCCCGTGAGCCGTGGCCGCTGAGCCTGCGTGTCAGGAGCCTGTGCTCCACAGCGGGAGAGGCCACAACAGTGAGAGGCCTGCGTACCGCCAAAAAAAAAAAAAAAAAAAAAAAAAAAACCAACACGTTTTTATTTGAGCATTTATTTTTTTTCCAAAGAAATCCATGCAAAGGGAAAGACAGAGAGAAAGACATGGTAACCATGTTCTAGCAGCCAAACATAGGAAAATAATTTGGCACAATTTGATTTTTTTTTCGTTGCAAAAGGACAATCTATACTACCACTAAAATTTACCGTCCTCATAAAGATACCATTTGATTTTCGAAAACGTAACTCATGGTTAGTCTTCTACTTAATGGCTGGAGGAGGTATATAAGATAAAAAAATAGAAAAAAAGAAAAAGGTGGTTCCCTTTATAGAGGGAGACCACAGGGTGCTGAAGGGCAGCACGTGTGCGGTGACCTTGGCAGTCAGTGCACCAGGAGGAAAGAGCACACCACGGAGATTGCCAAGCTGGTGAGAATCTTCAGGGGGGAAGGGCCATTCCCGAGGTTGTGAGAGGCAACTATCTCATTGTCCTTCTGATTCACATGTTGCTTGCTTCCAGGAGCATCGTCCACGTCCAGATCATAAGCCAGTTCTGCCGAAAGAAAGGAAAGAATTTCAATACAGGCTTACCAACAGCCTCAGCTTTGCACTCTTCACGGCCCAAGCGCTTGTCTGCACTGCTGGGATGCCCCAGCTTTGATTTCTTCCTTTCGTTGAAGGTAAGGCCGCCAGGAGATGGGAAGAAGACAGGGGTGTTGTGTGCGGGGCCCGCCCGAGGAAGATGGCTAGTGGTGCTCCTGCCAGAGATCCCACCAACAGGGAGAGAGCTGGCTGCTCCCCTCCCACCTTTGGCTCCACCCACAGCCCAGAGTGCACACTGGCCCTTTCCACATCTCCCACCTGGCAAGGCCACGCTTGAAGGTCATTTTCACCAGATCTCACAGGTATCCAAACGTAAGGTGCCACGTGGGTGACTACATGCATGTCCTTGTGTGTATGTGTGTTGGTGGGAAAGAGGGGATGTGGTAGCCTCCCAGGGTACCTTTCCTGGGCCCTGCACCCCGTTCAGATTTTCCCCTGGGAGGCCTTGCCTTAGCGTTGATGATAGGGTAGTTTGCCATTGGAAGTTGTTTTATTTTTCTCAGAAACATTTCTTTTATCTATACGGTCTTTTCACCGCCCACCCCTAACACACATACCCACACCCACACAGGATATTGGGTTGGCCAAAAAGTTCGTTTGGGTTTTTCTGTAAGCGGAAAGACCCGAACTTTATGGCCAGCCCAATATAATGCATAGAATTTAAGACTAAGGAAAGGCTAATGGGGTAAGGGTCCTCTTTCTTCGACTGCCTACCGTTTATGAGATATGCTCATGATTCTGAAAAGAAATTGGGGTGTTGGGGTTGGCCTAACGCGGAAATCTCCCAGAGGGTAAATCTAAGTAGGTAGTGGTTTGTCAGGAAATTAAAGACAGCTGGTCCTAGCCCAGGGCTCAGTTTCTCTTAGATTTGCTTTTCCAGATTTAGAGTTCAAATCTACTCCCTTGGCTTTTCTGGACTCAGTCACCAAAGTTTGTTTCTATTTCAGTAGCTTGTGAAGGTGATGTGATGTGAGTGACCTCAGCAGCCAACTGTCCTGTGGCCAATGGAGCCAGAAAGATGCCTTGGGGACATGGAGATGCATAGCAACAGGCACAGAGGAAGCGGATTCTGCAGAAGGAAGGAAGGAAGAGGAAGCAAGAGCTCCTCTTACAGGGGATGAAACACGCAGTAAGTCACAGGAAGAAAGTGTAAGGACTCAGCTGGTCCAGGATGTGTGCAGAGCAGGGCCCAGGACCACGGCTGCTGTGAGGCTGGCATTCCTTAGAGCAGGCAGCAAGGTCAAGGTGGCCAAAGCCAGAGGATCTGATTACAGCCTGCAACACTACTTTCCAAAAGGCTAGTGCAGTTTATAATGCCACCAGCAATGATGAGGGAACCAATAAAAGATACTGTAGTCTGTATAAGATGTCTCAAAGTTTCTTTGAGTGTATTTGATTACTAGTATAGATGAACTTTCTCTGTGTTTTAGTTCTCAGTGAATTAACAGTTCATATCCTTTGCCTTCTTACCTAATGCGTATTGATATTTTCCCTATTAATCTGAATATATATTTTATTGAGTCCTTTGCTTATCACATTTTTCATTGCTGTACAAGGAAATGATGTCCTAACTTTTAATATATGTGAATCTGGCCACATTTTGCTCTGCTGAAGCTGAGAAAGTGTTTCTTCGTGAGGGCTGATGATAATAATGCAAATCAAAATTTCCAGGGAACCCTCTTACTGAGGGAAAAGTGAATCAGTAGACTAACGTTCCCTCTCCCCCCAGAATAAATAGATACAAAGCAAATCAAAGAGAAAAAGAGCAATGCTCTACTTGGAAATCAGACCGCTTTCTCTGAAAGGTACAGTGCAGCGCGCACAGAGCAGGCCGAGGTCAGCTGTCAGTCGGCAAGGATAGTGCAGGCTTAGGTACCGAGCAGATTTCACCAAAGTCGAGAACACATATGGCTGGATCTGTTGAAAGCCCAGCCTTGAGTCTCATGGCAACTTCTCAACTTAAATGAGGAGGAGGATTTTTCGGGCTGACCTGAATGAGAGCACTTTCAGCAGCGCCTTCAGATTCATTTTCCAGATATCCCCCTTGCCTAACATCAGGATTAAGCAAGCAACATCTACTAACGTGACCACTCAGCGCCTCCACTATTTACCTTGCTCTTCAAATAATCCATGAACACTACACAGTTTTGTCTACTCTAGCACTTGTGGAAAACCCAGCAGTTATGTTAGATCCAGTAGTTTCTTATCTTATTGCCACCAAATACCTCTTTTGTTATGTCTATCTCTTGGAACCTATGTTTTGAAATTATAAAAATGACTACCAATTATTGAGTCCTCACTGTGTGCCAGGCACTGTGCTAAGCCCTTTATATACATGATCTCATGTAGTCGAACCTGCTCAGTAATGTTGTGAAGTAGGTATTATAATTCCCATTTTACTGATGAGGAAGCTCAAGCTCAGGTTACTTCTTTTGCCTGTATTTACACAGCTGGTAAGTGGCACAGGTGTTCTTTGAATGCAGGGCTGACTCATCATAAACAAACTGAAAAATTTTGTACATACACCAAGTATACTGCAGTCAGTAAATAGTAATGGGTTCCTTCTTGAAAAAAAAAATTAAGGAAAATATCCTGCCAAAGATAACTAACTAAAGAACACGTGAAATAAAACGAAAAGACAACCTACAGACTGGGAGAAAATATTTGCAAATGATGTGACGGACAAGGGCTTAACTTCCCAGATATCCAAACAGCTCATACAACTCAACAACAAAGAAACAAACAACCCAATCAAAAAATAGGTGGAAGATCTAAATGGACATTTCTCCAAAGACGACACAGATGGTTAAAAAGCCCATGAAAAGATGCTCAACATCACTAATTAATTATTAGAAAAATGCAAATCAAAACTACAATGAGGTATCACCTCACACCGGGCAAAATGGCCATCATCAAAAAAATCTACAAACAATAAATGCTGGAGAGGGTGTGGAGAAAAGGGAACCCTCCTACATTGTTGGTGGGAATGTAAACTGGTACAGCCACTATGGAGAACAGGATGGAGGTTCCTTAAAAAACTACAAATAGAACTACCATATGACCCAGCCATCCCACTACTGGGCATATACCCTGAGAAAACCATAATTCAAAAAGATACATGCACCCCAATGTTTACTGCAGCACTATTTACAATAGCTAAGACATGGAAGCAACCTAAATGTTCACTGACAGATGAGTGGATAAAGAAGATGTGGTACGTATATACAATGGAATATTACTCAGCCATAAATAAGAATGAAATAATGCCATTTGCAGCAACATGGACGGACCTACAGATTGTCATACTAAGTCAGACAGAGAAAGACAAATATCGTATGATACCGCTTATATGTGGAATGTAAAAAATAGGGTACAAATGAACTTATCTGCAAAACAGAAATAGAGTTACAGATGTAGAAAATAAACTTATAGTTACCAGGGGGTAAGAGGGGGGAGGGATAACTTGGGAGATTGGGATTGACATATACACACTACTATATATAAAATAGATAAATAATAGGGACCTGCTGTATAGCACAGGAACCTCTACTCAGTACTCTGTAATGGCCTATATGGGAAAAGACTCTAAGAAAGAGTATATATATGTATAACAGATTCCCTCTGGTGTACAGCAGAAACTAACACAACATTGTAAATCAACTGTACTCCAAGAAAATTTTTTTTTTTTTTTTTTTTTTTTTTGCAGTATGTGGGCCTGTCACTGTTGTGGCCTCTCCCGCTGCGGAGCACAGGCTCCGGACGCACAGGCTCAGCAGCCATGGCTCACGGGCCCAGCTGCTCTGCAGCATGTGGGATCTGCCAGGACCGCAGCACGAACCCATGTCCCCTGCATCGGCAGGCGGACTCTCAACCACTGTGCCGCCAGGGAATCCCCGAAAAAATTCTTTTAATTAAAAAAAATGAAGTAATGCCGTTTGTAGCAACATGGATGGACCTAGAGATTATCATACTAAATAAGTCAGAAAGAGAAATACAAATACCAATAATATCACTTATATGTGTGGAATCTAAAATATGACACAAATGAACCTATCTACAAAACAGAAACAGACTTGCAGACAGAGAACAGACTTGTGGTTGCCAAGGACGAGGGGGATGAGTGGAGGGATGGATTGGGAGCTTGGGGTGAGCAGATGCAAACTATTTATATACAGAATGGATAAACGATAAGGTCCGTATAGCACAGGGCACTATATCCAATATGCTGTGATATGCCATAATGGAAAAGAATATTTAAAAATGTATATATGTGTATAACTGAATCACTTTGCTGTACAGCAGAAACTAACAACAGTATAAATCAACCGTACATCAAAAAAAACATATGAGAGGAAAAGGTCTGGAGCTGCCGAAGACGCAAGAGACTTTCTCTTGCCTCTTTGTTTCCGGGTGCGCGAGGAGAGGGGATTAAGAGCGCTGCTTAAAGGAGCTCCAGAAAGGGGCGCGAGCAGCGGCTAAAAGTGTGGACCCCAGAGACGGGCAGGAGACACTAAGGCTGCTGCTGCCGCCACCAAGAAGCCTGTGTGCGAGCGCAGATCACTCTCCACACCTCCCCTCCCGGGAGCCTGTGCAGCCCGCCACTGGCAGGGTCCCGGGATCCAGGGACAACTTCCCCGGGAGAACGCATGGCGTGCCTCAGGCTGGTGCAATGTCATGCCAGCCTCTGCCGCCGCGGGCTTGCCCCGCACTCTGTACCCCTCCCTCCGGCCTGAGTGAGCTAGAGCCCCCGAATCAGCGGCTCCTTTAACCCCGTCATGTCTGAGCGAAGAACAGATGCCCTCCGGCGACCTACATCAGAGGCGGGGCCAAATCCAAAGCTGAGCCCCTGGGAGCTGTGAGAACAAAGAAGAGAAAGGGAAATCTCCCCCAGCAGCCTCAGGAGCAGCGGGGTAAAGCTCCACAATCAACTTGATGTACCCTGCATCTGTGGAATACCTGAATGGAAAACGAATCATCCTAAATTGAGGAGGTAGACTTTGAGAGCAAGATTTATTATTTTTTCCCCTTTTCCTCTTTTTGTGAGTGTGTATGTGTATGCTTCAGCATGAGATTTTTGTCTGTATAGCTTTGCTTCCACCATTTGTCCTAGGGTTCTGTCCATCTGTTTTATTTTTAAATTTTTTTTCTTTTTTCTTAATTATTCTTTAATTTCTTTATTTTATTTTACTTTATCTTCTCTTTCTCTTTTCCTTCCTTCCTTCCTTCCTCCCTCCGTCCCTCCCTCCCTCCTTTCTTTCTTTCCTTTTCTTCCTTCCTTCCTTCCTTTCTTCTTCTTCTACTAATTCTTTCTTTCTATTTTTTCTCCCTTTTATTCTGAGCCGTGTGGATGAAAGGCTCTTGGTCCTGCAGCCAGGAGTCAGTGCTGTGCCTCTGAGGTGGGAGAGCCAACTTCAGGACACTGGTCAACAAGAGACCTCCCAGCTCCACATAACATCAAATGGCGAAAATCTCCCAGAGATCTCCATCTCAACACTAGCACCCAATTGGCGAGAGCTCTCCCAGGTATCTCCGTCTCAATGCTAATACCCAGCTCCACTCAATAACCAACAAGCTCCAGTGCTAGACACCCCATGCCAAACAACTAGCAAGACAGGAACACAACCCCACCTATTAAGAGAGCAGCAGCCTGAAATCATAATAAGGTCAGAGACACCCAGAAACACACTGCCAGATGCGGTCCTGCCCACCAGAAGGACAAGATCCAGCCTCATCCACCAGAACACAGGTGCCAGTCCCCTCCACCAGGAAGCTTACACAACCCACTGAACCAGCCTTATACACTGGGGGCAGACACCAAAAACAACGGGAACCACGAACCTTCAGCGTGCAAAAAGGAGACCCCAAAGTAAGTTAAGCAAAATGAGAAGACAGAGACACACAGCAGATAAAGGAGCAAGGCAAAAAGCCACCAGGCCAAACAAATGAAGGGGAAATAGGCAGTCTCCCTGAAAAAGAATTCAGAGTAATGATAGTAAAGATGATCAAAAATCTTGGAAATAGAATGGAGAAAATACAAGAAATGTTTAACAAGGACCCAGAAGAACTAAAGAGCAAACAAACAATGATGAACAAAACAGTAACTGAAATAAAAAATTCTCTACAAGGAAACAATAGCAGAATAACTGAGGCAGAAGGACGGATAAGTGACCTGGAAGATAAAATACTGGAAATAACTACTGCAGAACAGAATAAAGAAAAAAGAATGAAGAGACTTCAGGACAGTCTCAGAGACCTCTGGGACAACACTGAACACACCAACATTCGAATTAGAGGTGTCCCAGAAGAAGAAGAGAAAAAGAAAGGGACTGAGAAAATACTGGAAGAGATTCTAG